ATCGTTATCCTTAATTATCTTTTACTATAACTCTTAAATAAGTTAAATTGTGATAATAAAAATGGTAATTATTAAATAACATTTATTAAAATTAGGTAAAACTAATTGCACAATGTTATAAATATGTAAAAAGCTGGTTATACTTAACGTCTGTAGAAAAATGTAAGTTATTTCTTCTTAATTTGAGCTAATGAACCATTAATGAAATTTATACGTTTTGTAATTAGATAATGGCTGTCCGCTATGTATAATTGACACACATTTAGATACAGTGAGCATATTATACAGTTCCTCCCAAGTCTTTAACATTTGTATACCATAAAGTTATTAATTATGCTCTATTTTGAAAGAATTGCGAACATTGCCTCAGGATGGAAATGAGTTTTTGAACTGAAAAATCTATTAACCGATAATAATCTGCTATATTGTGTACGATATGGTTTGATGTTTATAATTTTAATCGGGCATTTGTCGATGTAAATTGTTCGACGACGCTGATAATTCTGCTTACCGTTTGATAATACATTATAAATAAATAAAAAAAGCTTTCAAGTCGGAATTTTAACGAACTTGTATGTACTTGTAAGCAATTATTAGACTTATTGGATAAAGGACAATGCGTAGATCCGGGGAAACGAACAGTACTTATATATAAATTCGTACAACATTGTATCATCTACGTATAATGAAAGTAATTTGCGGTTGGTGGAACATGTGGCGTACGCATTGTCATTGTAAAACACGTTCAATTTGCATCGTACGCAACTTGTAATACAATAAAAAAGTCAGATATTATACAAAGATATGGCCGGGAGAACCGTAAGAATGATGAGCTAACCGACGTGATGCCATGCCCAGAGTACTGTGGTTCTTGAACGTTTATGAACCCTGTCTCAGCGAAGTTGCGGATTTATATGAATGCTTGATTTTGGGCCTCTCCTGATGTTGTTAATGTATCTTCAGACGTACGTATATAGTTTCAGGTCGACTGTTTAGGGCAATTAATTTAACAAACTACACGATCAAAACGGCTAAAATGTGACCCGAAGGAAAAAGTACCCACACAGAGTGACTTACCTGACCGAAGTTTTTGACTAACAAAAGAGTCTTTTTAATTTCTAATTGCGTAAACTTTCATCTTCTCCCTTTCCCATGTAACGTCCGGTTAGATTCCTTGCTTCCCTTAATTTCAGTTACGTAATTTGTGGACAGTCCCTAGGGTGACGATGACGTTTCAAGTTTATTTGAATGTTTCTTTTTGTTAATAATTAAAGTTTACTCAATTTAAGGCCTTTTCTGAATGATTAAATAACATCAATTTGTAGAGCACTGAGAATTGTAGAAGAATCTTTGTAGAGTTTTTAATATATATTAAAATAAATTAATTTTTACCACTACAGATAACCTTAAAATAATACAGACAAATTGTTGCTATTTTCATGCTCTCGCCGGGGATCGAACCCGGATTTCTGACTTTAAGCACCATTGCCCTACCACTAATCTACGAGAGGTTTGAGATTATCAGTAATGGTAAAATTTAATTCAAAAAGTGATTCACTTTATTTTAGAGCATGTTTAAAAGTTTTCTGCTTTTTATTAGTTAATCTTTAATTTGATATGCTACAACTTGAATGTTGTTGATTGGTAGTTCTTTCTTCTTTAAATTTTTGCCATTTGTATTCCGTCTGTTTAGTTTTGACCCAGACTTGTGCAAACAGAATTTCGAATTCGGTTTCTACCAGAGGCACTAGATCCGAATACAAAATACACAACTGTCCGTTTGGTTAATGATATGATTGGAAGCCACTTGCAGAAGAGACGGTTTCATATTGAGTAGCCTATCAATATAATTAAAATTACGTAGACCTATGCAAACAAACCAATGTTTGTAGGTTACTAGAAAATTGCTTCAGATACCAACTATGTTATATTTAGATATACGAAAAGAATTCTTCTAAACATTAACAAGAAGATTTTTATTACTTCTCCAAGAATAAAACTTTACAGCGGCAGGTCGCTCTTGCAAATGATGCGCGACTGTTGCTCACTGTTAACATAATTTTTTAATACCCTAGATTTTTGCCGAAATTTTTCTAGATATTTCTAACAATCTGATAATTATTTTTATGGTAGAATTTATAAAATCTAACAGATTGATACAGTCAGGTATTTTCCCGAGTTATTCTTCGTCGGGTAGGTAAAACACCATTAGTAACATCACCGAAGAGAAATTACATAAGAGTGTTTAGTAATATTATGATTTTCGAGCTACATATCTGCAATTGAATGCAAAGTTTATAAAATTCAAGTTTAAGGATAATAGAGTTACTGCTTCTTATTTAATTTTTATATATTTGAATTCAATCATATTTTGTAGATCCTTGATATCTAACATGGTTAGAACCATGGTAATTTGTATTGTTTATATATGGAATATAATTCTTTGTGCCTGATGAATGATCACAGGGTCTACACTGTGTAGTCGGAAGATATTTCGAAAATAAATTTTTGGGTTTTCATTGAGTTAAATATTTCCTTTACTTATTTTCAATTTTTTGAATTTGTTTCGCAGATATTAAAAATTTCCCAATTTTTATATATTTTTGAGACCCTTATTGAAATTTTAGGTATTGTATGTATCTTTTATATATTATTTATTCAGATTCAGACGCATATTTCTCTTACTTTTGTTATTATGTTAAGCAATACTTTTTCCATGAGGGTGAAAAATTACTGACAGGAAATGATATATGAGAAACCGTACAAAAAGCTTGTGTCTGTAAAACCTTCTGAGTGCTTATTTTTTCACAAAGATATTTTAATCGTTTACATTTTATAATACGGTTTTACCTAATCTCGTCTAGTAGGTAATTTATTTTCTAAATAGTTTTAGATTTTCAGTTGTTTACAATTTTCAGTACACTATAAATAATTGAAGAATATCTTAATCTGAAATTCCATTACTGTGAAGTATCTAATTGAAGTATTTCGTAATTAGTATTCTGTTTAAAGTTACCGAAATGAGTTTGTTTTTAATATCGTTAATTGGGAAGACGAAATTGAGATAACGGCTTTTTTACGATTAATGTGCATAGGTACCTACATAGGTAACGGTCGTCTTAAAGAAGAAAATGGAAGGCGAATTTTACTTTTACAATACTTAAATTGTGCTTTTCGCTTACTGTAGAGGTACCTACATAGAGAATTTATAAGTAGCGTTGTTATTTAAGAAGACAAATTACGTTTTTGCTTTACCTGCCCGACATGATTAATTAATTGAACAGTTGTGATTTTGCTTTGTTTAAGATACTTTTCATCAAAATTAATTGTTTGATCTTATCCGAAATAAGATGAATTAGTCGTTTTTTCATTAATTCCGAAATAAAAACGTACTAGACCGGAATCGACTCAGTTCTAACGTTGCCTGATTAATTTAGATTGATAAGCATCATGAAAACCCTAGAAGTAGTTGTAGTATCGTATAAAAATAAACATTGTAGAGTAAAAATAGGGCAACTCTTGTCATATTTTTAGATGGATATCTCTTACAAAAGGTATAAACTAATATTTTAAATTACTGTTACAAGTCGCTGTGAATTTAGCGGATGTAACTTTTAAACTTTTCTTTTTGTTATGTGAAGAAGAGAAACTATAAATTTTATCAGGAAATTGGATAGCTTGAAAAGTTTCATTTTAGGAGCTCAAAAGTCGTGATGTTCGATGGTTTGAAAACTACCATTAAAGAACAGAAAGATCGTTCATAAATAGCGGATTGTTAAAAGTTGAAAACTTTTATTTAAGAGATACAAATAGTCAGGGGGGTCAGATCGGTTGCAGTGAACAATTACGGAATCCCAACATTCGATTTATTACACCATGGATAGACAATATATATTTCTCTTGAAACCTGTAGGTAGATACGTTTGGTGTGTTTTCAATAGAATTAGTCGGTAAAGGTCTAGAAGATGGCCCCCACCCCCTTCGGGGGTGAGGATGGGGGGGACCAAAAGAGGAGGTCTCCCCCATCACTGTACCATAAAAAGTTCGTGGCGGTCTCACCCCCTTAAAAAGTTATAGGGGTTCAAAGTTAATAAATATGCCAATTTTTATACATTTCTAGGCATGTAAATATTTATATAGTCATTCTTAAACAATATTCAAAGGTAAAGCTAATGGAAAAATACATAAAAATATTGGGAAAGTTATACAAAACATCATTTAAATATCTTTATCAATAGGTTAGGTCAGGTTATCGGGTTTTGTTTTTTTTTATTTGAATTACAGTGTATGAAAATTGTCGAAATAATCAACTTTCAACCCCCATAACTTTTTATGGGGGTGAGACTGCTGCAAATTTTTTATGGGGTTTACTTACCCTCTTTTGATCACCCTACCCCCACCCCCATCTAACCCCCATAACTTTTTTTGGGGGTGAGACCGCCACGAACTTTTTATGGTACAGTAGTAGGGGAGACCTCCTCTTTCGATCTCACCAACCCCGAAGACAATTACCAATTATTATGACAATTACCAATTTCTGAAGAATGGGAATTCATAGTTGGATCGTAGTAAGCTCTGGATTCTGCCATAGCTACTATAGGCGTAATGATGTCCTTGGGTAAGTAATTAGATAATAAGTACCCATCTATCCTCTATTTTTAAGCCCATCACATTAATTATTTATACTAGATAATTTTAACATTTGCATATTTCAAGTTCACGTCTTTTACAATTTCTGATATAATTCACAGCCTTCAAGTTAATTACAGGTAACAAAAGCCTAACATGCTCCTACTCAAAAAAAGTAGTAACTTTAAATAAGATGACCAAATATCTGTTTATTCAAATATTTATTCGTTTGTTCATTTGTTATTTATGTATTGACTTATTTAGTTGTATATTTAGCATTATGGAACTTATTTTAATAGAATAATAGAAGAAATTGAATTAGACCCATATGGTCGTAGAAGAGATAGTATTGAACCATCAAAAATTCAGTAAATATCGTTTCAGTTATTATTATTAATACGTACAATTTAGATTATAAATTATACTTTCGTGCTTACCATTGACCAAGTTCTTTTATCCGCAGGATTGAAATGATCAACCCTTTGAGTTATATTACCCCAGACGGGTGAACTAGCTCTACCGATGGGAACATCTACTGGGGGAGGTCCATATCGCCTTCGAAATATTTGACCCTAATGACGTTCAATTTAATTTTATTCACATTATATTAAAATAAAACTTATTACTATTTACCTCCGCAGCAATAATACACAGTAGTAGAAAAAAACTGGATAATGTTGTCATTTTAACAAAATATTAGTGAATGTTGTAAGTATCTTGCAATGTGTGATGAAAAAAGCCGAAGGAAACGGAATATAAATTAAAATTAATGATAAGATTGTTTTTTACTTTTAGATATGAACATCGATATAGTTACGTGTTCTGTCCGAGTGTTTACTTGATCGTAACAGGGGTTCGAAAATTCTGGAAAATGCGATAAAATTTTTGAGTAGGTTTAACCACATTATCTGCCGGAAATTCCAGAAAATTTTCCCTTTCAAGTGGACTGTACACGGCATNCACAATGTGGATTTTTTAATTAATTCATACTTTTTAAAGAATATAAGTTTATTACGTTATATCGCAATGGTTTATTTGTAAACTTTTTATTTAACTTGTATGAGACAACTTACCCGTATCTGTATCTTATTCTAGCTCTTGGTATCTGACAGCAATATTGTTCTTCTTCTTTTTTACGAGCCTTTATATGTAATACCTTTTTTAGAAACTTCATATTGTAACTGTAACCACCAAAAAGAATTCTCACAAATCTGTTTTATTTTGCGATATTGTTCATTTTTATTTTGTTTTCTACTGATTTAACACATGGTCGTTAGAAGTAGCACTGGTATTTTTTTATTCTCGCTCATTAGAAGAACACCTTTATCAATGTTCAGCAGACAAATAATGAAAACGTAAGTGACATTCAAATGCTCATTAGCATTATCGTCTGTTCAACGATTTATTGATCAGTATTCGATTAGGGTGTCACGTACTTGTCATAACGTATTCCAAAATCTAATTAATAGTTTAAAGACGAAGTTCGCGATAATGAATCATAACGATCCATTGTTTTATGCGTTTCATTAATATAGAAGTATCGGCGAGGGAAATTAATAATAACATTGTATAAAATATATGGTATCTCAAAGGTCGCTTTGCTGTGGATCAATGCTGTAGTCTGTGTACCCATTAAACTAAGCTGTTTTACATTTTCATCCAAAATGGTTAGGATTAAAAAGGTATATACTGTTCTAATGGTTACCCTCATCATGAAAAAGTCCATTTTCGCTTCCTGATGTAATTTTGTTTGAAACAGTTATTGTCCCAAATATAAGGATTAATTCGATTACATCGTAAACCCCCTTTAGAGGTGGTATTTTGAAAACTCATTTTACAGTGGATAATACTATTGTATAAGGAATGTTTATGCAAATTTTCAAGCTTTCTGACTCTGCGGTTAGTGCTTGATTGATAGATCAAACATTGAACCCCTTTTTCACCATTTCAGGGGTTGAATTTTAAAAAATTCTTTCTTGGTATTCGCTTATGTTGTCTAAGGAACATCTATGTAAAATTTCAAGTCTTCAGACTAGAACTGAGTAACCTTTTTAGGGTTCTATACGTACGAATGAAAAACGGAACCCTCGTCACTCGTGTGTCTGTGTCCGTTTTTAAATTCGAAATGTCATGGAAAACCACCAATCAGTCAACACCGTAATTCTTATTATGATCAACAAATGGCAGGGCGTTATTTACCTAATTCTATTAATTTTTCAATTATCTCTAGCTTTTTTGAAGGCCGCAAAAGAAATTTATTGAGGCTTTGAGGTTCTAGGTTCTCCACCCCTGCTCTAGAAATCCCGGGTTTAGGCTGTGCGTTGACATGGTCTAGTATAGACCATTGCTTAGCATTCGAGAGGACGCCGGTATGATTCTGGGACCATTTGTCGTGGTCAATCGAAAATATATTTGATTGCTCTTTAATATTCGTATATGTAAACAAAATCCCCACTAAGTAAAGTGTGAAGTTTTAAGATTTTCCCATCTTAGACTTTTTTAGTGAAAAGTGTCATATAATAATATTCTTATTACCAATTGCACTGTTTCACACCTAGAAATAATATTCTTCCTCATTAATCTCTGTATAATTTTCCTTATTTGATGAAAAGGCTTTAAAGATTCTTATTTTCAAAAAACTAAGCAAAAATGCTGCTTTCCAATATATTCTAATTAAGATAAATTATATTTCAACTTTCTGATATTTGCGTAAAACTCGGAAAACACACCTGATTGACATGCACGCAACTGCTAATGACCCTTCCATTTATACATTTTGCTTGTCTGTCCTTTTTTGAAATGGTAATTTATTCTATGTAGCTACAGTACATACCTCAATTTTACAATTTATTTTTATGGTCATCCTTTCAGAAAAGCTTATTTATCTTTGAAATACTCTTGCAAATTACAGTATTTCTGGGTTTTAACTTCGCAGGAGGTACCTATGTATGTTTTAACTACGTAGTTTCTATCTATGTTCCATTTATGTGACCCAGTTCATTTAAAAATACTCAAATTGTTCATGCTGTTATTGTTGTACTTGTTTCTACTTATTTCTATTTACCGTGTTTCCAATGCCTTTTAGTAGAAGCACCCCATATTAAAATAATAACATGAACTTTTACATATACTTTAGGTTTTTAAGGTTCTAGCAATAATTAAATAAATTAAAATAGACTTACCCTTAAACGACGTTGATGTTTTTAAAACTTTGATAACCCTCCAAAATTGTAAAAAAATTTTTGCTATTCAGTTATTATTTTATTGTTTTATCTTGTAATTTGTTTTCTAAATTAAAACTAAGCTACTAAGATATATGTGTTTAAAGCTTTATCAAAATGCATTCAACAATTTTAATTTGATTTAAGATATAATTAAATTTTTTTTTAGATATTTGTATTATTATTATGAGTAGTGTTGTTATAATAAATTATTATGTATGTAAAGTAACGCAATGCATTACTCAAAACCCAATATTATTATTGGCTCAACTTCTCAGACGTGCAGCCTTTTGGCATACAAGCTTATGGTTTTGCTCTACTAATCTTACTAATTGGTGTTGATAAAACGAATATCACAACAGTTAAAGTACGTCCAAATAGTAATTAATTTTAATGTTTTGCAGTCGTAGTAATTATAGAAGCGTCCTCTTCACAGTTAAATACTAATTTCATGAAATACGAAATAATAAGTTGTGCACGTTAAGGGATGAAGAAACTTCATTTGTATATAATTGCTAGAGCAATCGACTTTGGGCATTTACGTAGATGACTACTTAATAAAAAGTACCTTTAAAAGTACTGTAAGTGTTTTGTGTAATTGTCCTTCAGATTAGAAATGAGACACATTTGATTAATCCTTGATGCATTAATTACAGTAATTTAGCATGAAAGTGCTTTTGGGGTTCAAATTTTGCAGAAAAGTTTTTAATTTTTTAAATTTTTGCTTTTGAAACATTTGATATTTATATATTTACGGAAGTTTGTATCAATTCAAACAAGGAGCGGAGAAATTGGGAATTACTTTACGTTAATGTTTTTCAAATTTTTATATTATGTAACCGTCACACAGCTTTGTTACTTTTAATAATAAATTAACAGACTTATTGAAATTTAAATTAGGCTTTTGAGTATATGTGTATATTGTAAATCATGTGGCCCTTTTGGTTATGCAGAAAATGCTACTAATAACAAAGTATATTTAGCAAAGGAAAACATCCATGATGAAATTAATATTTAAAAAGAATGTTATTTATGAAGAAATAAATATTCATATTCATTCAGAAAATTCACTAATAAGGACGTTTAATATTCATTGCACGTAAAGGTCTAGTAAAGGCTTGCTTGTAAAAATTTAAAAATCGATGGCCTTTGGTACCTAAAACTTTTTGAGAACAAATGTAAATATTTTTTATTTAGCATTAAATTACGTCCTACAATCTTATGACAAAAACACATTTAATCAGTTTTTTTCAAAAAATGAGAAGTACCTATTTATATTAGAGTTGTTTTCACTTCATTCCTTCTTTTATGTGAATATATACTGATGAGTGAAATGAAAAATACGTATTGTCATTTAAGAAAGGTTCTGTACAACACGGATTCAGACGTTGAAGTTCACTTGATGTCTGAACTCCTTAACTTAGCATTTCCTTAGAACAAATTTAGGATACATCTAATGCGATGGAATTATTATTTTCCGTATCTAATATCAATGTGACTTACCCCTTTTTTTTCTGACTCGCGGCCTTGGCCCTCGTCTCATTGATAAATTTGAGGGCCTCTTGACCCTCTTGTACAACTTCGGCGGTACCATTGGCGATGACACTGTGACTCGCTCCGATTTTGGCTACCTAGTCACCTGGTGCACGTCTTCAACGAGTTCTCCACGTTCACACGGTAAGGACACTTATCATCAAACGCACCTTCAACACTGATCACTTCCTAACTTCGATCATGCGATCGATGAACTGCGGAATGTTAAATGTTCGGTCTCGCCCACAGTCTTGGTAATGATGTCCTGCACTGTCGGATTTCCTCTCTTTCAAAGCAACTGGAGTCGGTTTGCGTTCCTTTCGAAAAACGAACAAACTCCTCGTTGCTAATTAGTGGTGTAACGTTTTCTTTTATGCTTTCTGCTTCGGGGAGTATATGGACTAACTGTAGGCTGGTTGTCTGTTACGTGGTGTTGCGAAGAGCGATGATGGTCATCAGCCACGAGTGACAGGACGTGTTCTTCCGATGAAGATTGTGATGATAATGAAGACCTGCCGCATGTTGTCTGTACTTGTTCATCGAGTGCCGTATGCGAATGAGTGTAGGCAGTGGCCAAAATTGACCCATTTACACAGATTTACCAACAGACATACATATGTATGCACAATGAATAACAATCGCTTATGATGAGTTAAGTTAAACATTAAAACAACATCGCCGTTTTTGATTTGTGGATGAAGATAATCCAACAGGTTTTTGATTGATTGGCAAAAATGCCTCTTTATTATAAAAAATAATTGTAGTCAGTAATTATATTTATTGTTAGATTTTTTCCTTTTAATGACTAATCAATTTTTTGGGTATTCAAGTATTCGAAAGTTGCCTTAATTGAATAATTTTTCTTGGAGAACTAATAATAATGTTGGAGCTAAGTTCTCCTAGCAACAAATTAATGTTTAGTTCTAAGGTTTGCATAATAGACGGTCTATTTTTGATTCAAAAGGGCACAATAGATAAACATTGATTATTTAATGTTATAAATTTTAAATTTTGATTGTTACAAATATGTATAAACAAGGAGGTTTACTATCATTATAGCCCAATTTATGAGCGTCTTTTTTGTCAATCCATCAATTATTTTAATATTTGTAAACCAAAACGTATCATTTCCATATCCATTACTTTCATTACTACTATCTTCACTTTTAGTATTATTCGGTAGACACGTCGATTATTTTTTTTTCATTAATATGCATGAATCTATGACTTTCTCATTAAATTTGCATACCTGATGCATGCTTATATGCGAACGACGTCGTCGTAAACGTAGACTTCACTTTATTCAATGACAAACGGATAGCGTCTGTGATATAAAGTAGTGCGAAATTCTAAAGCAAGTCACATAAACTGGAAACACCCTGAGTGCAAATCGTTCCAGTAAACATAAACCGTCGTCATACGTGTTAATTTTATTACTTGCATTAAACTGGTTTTATTACTTCCTGAAAATAGTAAAATTGTAATGTCTTGATCGGAATTATAATTCGCGTTTAATTAATTAATGCAATTTCTAATGAACATTAGAGTGCGAGAAACAAAAACTCATTTA